CGCTTCTGGGCTGTCCGCTGCCCGCGGGTTCCGCCGCTTTGCTTCCTCTCCCTGGTCTGCTGGAGACCAGGGAGAGGGAGGGCCCTGTTTGTAACTGCGGATCCGACATAAGTCGGATGCGCGTAACTCGGGGACTGCCTGTAGTCAATACAATTTGTATTACGTACATGATTAGCTGATAAGGGGCCCCACTGAGGCTCTGCAGTTTAAATGTCGTAGGAGCTGGGCATGCAGACAGCCCGGCGCCTATTACATTTAAACTGCAGATCCGCAGCAGGGGTAGGTCCCAGACCTGGTGCAAGCTGGGACTGATGAGTCCCAGCTCACACCAGGTTCTGGACCTACCCCTGCTACAGATCTGCCTTTTAAATGTAGCAAGAGCTGGACCCAGCATGAGCAAGTACTCAGCTGTCCCGGCTCATGCTAAGTCTCTGACTGCTGTGACTCTGCCTCCCCTGCCCCCCCCCAGCTCTTTTAAACTAGCTCTCCCCAACACTGGCTCCTGCTTCCACCCCCCTTGCTGCCTCTGATACAGAAGCAGCAACAGGTGGGGAAGCAAGTAGTCAACTAATCTACTACTCTTTTACATCCCTAACATGCAGCCCAAATGATAATTTGTCACATTTCTTATAGAAGGCCAACCTGAATTTACAACACAAAGAAACCAGAAAACATTAATTTACAAAAAGGCATTTCTCTTTATAAACCATGATGATGTTCTGACATCACAAAAATCACATCCGCCCACACACTTCACAAAAAAGTGAAGACATAATCAAGTGATACACATTTTTAAAATGAAGTTTTCCTTTTACAAAAATATGGTTTCATTCTCAGACCACAGCCATGCAATAAATGTTTTATTGAACATGTTACCAAAGTATTCCAGAAACAAATATCAATACATCTGTAAATCAGTTCATATTATAATCATATTTAACATGTACAAAAAAAGAACTCAGTTGCCTCTCATCACCTATGATGATGTATTACTATAGTCACAGGCCTGGGGCATTCTGCTAAGAGAAATATCAACTCATACTATGCAGTATTAAGCTGATATAAAATCTGATTTTCCCTGCTGGTTAAGCTGTTTTCCTCACAATCCTCATTAGTTTAGCTAATATTGGTCATTCCCACCTCCCCAACAACACACTCTCTTTGTTTAGCTGCTGACCATTTCACTTCCTTTACTCCAATCCTCATCTCTCAACCAATTTGTACTTGTTGACAGAAATGCTTTCCTCCTAATTACTGGCCTCACTATACAGTTCTTATTTTTAAGGGGTTACCTCTGCGTCTCACTCCACTCCTTGCTGATTCAACAGCTTTATCCCCTTTCGCCATTATCCTTGCTTGTTTAACTACTGGCCCCCTTCCCCAAAACTCTTACCTCCTAGCTTCAGTGAGTTACCCCTACTGCTCTAGGCAGCTTTGTTCTACAGCAGGGTAGAGTCAAAGGGTTTCTGGTTCGGACAGCTGGAATAGGTGAGGATAAAACCTCGCTCCCAGGACTCCTACCCCCACTCTCTGCAGACAGCCCCCTTTGAGAATACAAGCAGCTACAGCTCACTATTTGGCAGCATGTCTCCCTTCTCCAATTCTCCCTGCGCAGATGCAGAGGATCCTTATTCCGCAGGTCCCTGCAGCGACGGTCTGCGCAGGCGCTGAGGACACGAAGCAGCAGGATGTTGCTGCTCCCAGCGCTTCCCTTCGAGCTGCGCGTGCGTAATCCCCTGACGGTCCCTCCTCCCGCACCATGACGGAGGCTGCGCGCGCGCGCACACATGCACAGCCTCCCAGCAAAGTGCCGCCGCCGCTTCCCCACTGTTTAGACTCCCAGCGGCTCACAATTTGGCGGCGCTGACACGCATGCGCTGTTCTGCTTCTCTTCCCCTACGCTACCATGGCTCACTATTTGGCAGCAGGGCTACCGCCGTCACAGGACCATTTGAACCACCAGCGTGGCGGAGGGGGGCGGGCGTTGGG